GTACAACTTAAGGTTTAAATTGTTCTCCGTACTCTCACGCACGTACAACTTAAGGTTTAGATTGCTCTTCGTACTCTCAGATACGTCTTAAGGTAAAATTAATATCCTTTTGTCTGACTTACACTTTGACAAGTGTCTGTTGAAATATGCGAGATTTTGTTTGTTTTTATTTAATTACTAATCTTTGTTTATAAATAAAGATCACGAAATTTTAAATAGGAAATTGTTCTTCTTTGTACAGAGAACAACGATTCCGAAAGACAGGCAGACAGATTAACCTTTACAAACGAGTTCATGTTTGTTGTTTTGTGCTTTGCTGCGGAAGAATGGCTATAATTACCATACATGTTATAAAGAATTACGTTCTACTTACAAGTTAATCAAAGCAAAATCCTCCCATTAAATGTGATCCAACATGCAAAAAAGTAGCTTCTGCTGTCAAGCTGAAACTACATCGCTGTCCAAACGTCCTAAATATTTTTGATTTCTTAATATTAACGGTATTCAATACATTCAAAATTATTTCGTTTTCTGTTGTACTTTCCAAACATCTGTTTACTTTTTGTACATTATATAAAATGGTTACCAACCTTAATGTTTCAAGATAAACAAAGCAACAAAATAGGAATAATATTTATTAGAAACTTCCAGCGACCCTCTTGTTGGCTTTATAGTTTATTTTGTAGATCAAGCTGTTCGAATTGTGTCAATTGTGTTGTTCAGTGATCATAAACTTTGTCGAAAAACATCCATGCTGACTTAATTTGGATAATTAACTTTTAACACTGCAAAATGAAAGAAATCTTGCTTCATCCGACAATAATCCTGATTTAACAGAATTTGTCCACTGAAACACATCTATCACTAAACAAAAGGGATAAAAGACCATCACAGTTCCTGGTGAATAGAGAAAATAACTTTAGAAAGGTGATTGTTTGGACGAACAATTAAAAAAAGGCAAACAAAGTTCTAAAGAATAGCAGATAATAGCAAGATGTATTCACTGGTCAACTTAAAGTTTTAAAATAGACGTCCTTTCTACTTAACTGAATATGTTATGTTATAAAACATGAACAAATCAATTAAACTTATTTCGGTTCATTCGTAAGTTTCTCAGTATTTATATGGTAGGATGTCGTTATTCTGTCGACATTAGATATCACTAGGAGGATAAACAAGGCAAGAGAAATCTTAAAACAGAATTATTCTACTTAAAGGTGAGTGAAGGAAACATGCTCTCTAACAACACGAGCCTGCGAATTTAAACTTCATAAAAGATGTTTGGGTTTTAATAACGGATTTTCCATAATTCAGCTTCTAACATGGAAGCATTTTTTTTTTACAAATCGGGAATTAAAAAACTCTTACTTAGACCAACTTATTATTTTGTTTACCACAATAAACATTTTTTATTATTATGTTTGTTAACAAAAAATACAAACAAACTGAAGAACATTGATGTCAAACGAATATGCATCCTCATTTATCCTGATTTTTTTGTGAAATGTGCGTCTTTAAGTCTCAAAACTACGTGTTGTGATCTTTCTTTTATATACTGCGTTATGACGTTTTGTGAAAGATATGTAGGTGATGGAGAAAAATGGATATCATATTCGGATTCAGCGTACAGGAATTACCGTAGAACATGTACAATTTCAAGACAATAAAATCATCGCATGCCTGTGTAATACATCATAATAGGAAGACGGAATTTTAAAATTCAATAACATGCGCATTTCTAAGTCTGGCTGAAGCAAAATAATTTTAATTAATTTTTGGTGATGTCTCTTCGGTTAGAGCATTACGACAAATAGATATATTTTTATGTACATTGTATAACCTTGTAATAAGTAATACTTGGACTATGCTGCCTCATTAAACTAGAGTCCGTTTATATATAATTAAATAATTTCTACATGATAACTTTGATGATATATATATCTAAGTAGAACAGCTCGACAGAATTTCAACTTAGATTGTTTTTCTATAGTCATGTATCAGCTGAATATTGTTTACAGCACAACTTTTCAATCTTTGTT